CAAGGATTAACTGTAATGTGTGAAATCTCTGGCACATTCTTCAAAGGAAGCTTCTTGCATTCCACTTCCCCTTTTCCAGTTTTTGTAGTCCAGAGCACAGATAAAGTAGTGGTGAGCCAATTTTAACCAAAGAGGTGAAGACAACATCCTTGAGGATTGGTATAACAAAAAGAGAGAAGAAAGCTGGGTCCCTGGATGACTTTTATTTATTTAAATTTTTTTTAAATTAATTAATTTATTTTATTTATTTTTGGCTGTGTTGGGTCTTCGTTGCTGCACATGGGCTTTGTCTAGTTGTGTCAAGCAGGGGCTACTCTTCACTGCGGTGCGTGGGCTTCTCACTGCGGTGGCTTCTCTTGTTGCGGAGCACGGGCTCTAGGCGTGTGGGCTTCAGTAGTTGTGGCACAAGGGCTCAGTAGTTGTGGTGCAAGGGCTTAGTTGCTCTGCGGCATGTGAGATCTTCCCGGACCAGGGCTCGAACCCATGTTCCCTGCATTGGCAGGCGGATTCTTAACCACTGCACCACCAGGGAAGTCCCTGGATGACCTTTAAAAGCAGTTTCCCTATTCCTCAGTCTACCTTCCATGTCAGACTTTTCTGTGAGAGAAAAATAAACTGTGTATCTTTTAAAAAATCATTTTTGTCTGATCTCTGCTAAAGCAGCCAAACAAACTAACATGGAGTTTGCTACCAGGAACAGGGCTGACGTAACAGAATCTGAAATACGTGCTATTTGCACATTTTGGGCAGCAGGCAGTGAGGAAACACATCATGTGGGCTGGATAGATGGTGACCCTTACTATGTCATAGCAAACATCTGGTAAACCTATTGTCAGTGCATTTGAAAGGAAGGCCATTTGCCTACTGAACTTGTAACTCATGGGGAAGTGGTTACAAAAGTCGTTTGGTTGGCATATCTTGGCTTCTTTTAGCAAAGTACTACAGTCAAGAACTAAACACAGGCAAGAATTAACCAGTTTGCAAACAAAGATGGAATGGAATACAGTTATATGAATGGATGCTTTCAGCCTGTAGCCGACAATCTAAATTGATTGAGAATCTGACAATTTAAGGTTTTGCACGTTTGGAAAAACCAACTGCTTCCACACTCCCAACACCACAAAGAAGACTGTGGCTCCCAGCCTTTCTCCAGAGCATCTCACATGATTGTTCTTGGCCAGGCCATAGGAGTCAGACCAGCAGGAAAATTCAGATTAACATGTTTTACCTTCTCTGCTCATTGTTTTAGGTGCCTTCAAGATAGCCAGCATTGTACTGAGGAAGAAGAAACGTAATTGAGGAAGAGGACAAGAGTTGAGCACAGAGGTTAGTAAATAAAGTGTTGGCAAACTTAAAACTACTTGTCCCTGTTTATTTTTACACGGAATTGATTGAAATCAAATAAACTAGTAGTTTTCTAACTTTTTGGTGGAATTATAATGCCAAAACCTATTTAAACCCTAAGACAACCCCTAGTCCCTCAAATCTGTACCAGTAGGAATTAGGCTATAAAAAACTGCACAACCCCCAGGAAGGGTACACTTCCCAATATGTTCCAAATGTGGCATTCCAGTAACAAGAGAGTTACTTCCAGAGTAGAACCCAGTGGCACTCCACTGACAGGAAAGAACTTTTCACAATTGCTGTACAGCAGAATCTGATAACTGCCGTGGACAGTAAGTATCATGTGTTTCCCATTCTTCCCTTTTCCAAAAGAAGAGCTTTAAGTATGGTTATCCTATCCCTCCTCACCACGGTGTATTAGATGATGAGAAGGCTGATGATTTGTCTTTAAGTTCATAGGTCGCCAGACCATGAGAAGTCACATCCAAACGTGAAAGTCAGAACTGTGCATCACCAGGAGACGCTGGGTTCTGAGTCAGGTAAAGTAACTGCCTGGCCCTTTGGATTGTTTCCATAGGGGAAATTGGTATTCATGGATTTTTGGTGACCAGAGAGTGGACTGTGGCTTTGAGTGCTAAATGTCCCCGATATTCATTCTTTCTTCTTCTTTTTAGTACTAGAAACCTCTACATTTAAGCTGGGTAGGTAGCCACCCAGCTAAAGACTACATTTCCCAGATGCCCTGCAGCTAGGTGTGGCTACCATGTTCTGGCGTGCAACTCTTGGGTCACATCCCTAAAAGGAAGATGCCTGGCTTCTACTTCATTTTCTTTTTCTTTTCTTTTCTTTTTTTTGTGATGACGATGAGCTTCCTTAGGCTCCAGGGATGAGGAAAATATCCTAGGGGCTGGCAAAGCAACAAGAAGAAAGGAATGATAACCTTTTGGTAACTTTGCTGACCAGAGCTTCTTTATTCTTTTGTTCTGTCAGCTTAGACTTTCATATGGAAAAGAAATAAAACTTCCTTCTTGTTAAAGCCATTGTTGTTTAGTCTCTGCTAAAACAGCCAAACCGGTATACACAGACTGCTTTCTTAATAATTCCAGTTGTCTCAAATAAGACACTAATTATAATGCCTTTGCTAGAAACCCTCCTCCTCTTTCAAAATTAGCTGCTTATAAGTTACCAACCTATTGAAACATGTAAACCAACACAGTTTTTCTCTTGAAAGTCATGTAGTCTCATATTGCTTCTCAAAATATGTTTTAATTGTTGGCGGATATAATTATGGTGAAAATTATTTTATATGTTGCTGAAGGTTTTCAAACAGTATGCTATCTCTTCAATTCAGCCTGAGAAATTTTTATTGACCTATCTTCTAGCTTACTGATTCCTTCCTCAGCCGTGTCCAGTCCACTAATGAGCCCATCAAAGGAATTTCTCATTTCCGTTAGTGTTTTTCATTTCTAACCTTTTTTCTCTTAAAACTTCCACCCCTCTACTAAATTACCCGTCTGCTCTTCTATGTTGTCTATTTGGTCCATTTAGAGGCCTTAACATATTAATCATAGTTATTTTAAATCCACCGTCTGATAATTCAGATAAGTGTGGTTCTGACATTTGTTTTGTGCCTTCAGACTGTGACTTTTATTGCCTTTTAACATAGCTGGAGTTTTCTATTGAAAGCCAGACATGATATATCAGATAATAGAAACTGCGGTAAGTAGACCTTTAGTGTGAGGTTTCATGTTAATCTGGCTAGGAGTTGGGCTATGTTATTTTGTTTGTTTGTTTCTGGCCATGCCGCGTGGCATGCGGGATCTTAGTTCCCTGACCAGGGACAGAACCCGTGCCCCCTGAAGTGGAAGTGTGGAGTCTTAACCACTGGACCGCCCGGGAAGTCCCTGTGCTATGTTTAATATTTGCTGTAGCTACAGGTGCCAGAGGCTTCACATTCCTCTAGTGTCTTGGTTTGCGCCTCCCCTGTTGACTTTGGGCTAACCTAAGTACTCCTCCTCCGAGAGGGTCTTCATTGCATTTTGCTGCTCTTTTGATGGGCTTGTGCCCCTGGGCTGTGACTTTCACAAGCATTTCTTAGCCTTATTTTCCCCTTTTTTGGTGAGAAAGGAAGGTTAGAGGGGAGTAGAGTAGGGGAAAGTGCCCTTCTTCAAAGTGGGATAAGTCTCTGGTAAAGTCATTTCTCCCTGGAGAGTAGGCATGTCACGGAGAATACTCTGGGCACAGTTCACAATGGTTAACTCTTCCTTTCTCACTGTCAGAACTACCAGGGGATCTTTTCCAGCTCTTTTTTGCCATGAGAACCTGGAGGGGATTTTAGAGGTAATTCCCAAGAAAGTACTGCCACCCCCGACCCAACAAGACTGCATCCCCCAAGAGTTTTTCCCTCTCAACCTAGTTCATACTCAGCCTCCAGCAATTCCTCAAAATCACTATGAAAGTGTTCCTACCAGTTTATGGCTCTAATCACTTCGCCAGGTAAACAGGTCTCAGCTGTGACTCCTTGAATGTGCCTCTCTCTCCAGGTGGTGGTTTGCCCTGAAACCTCCGTTCTCTGATGGGTCCAAGAAAAATCACTGCTTTTTCAGTTCAGCTTTTTCTTGTCATAAGGATGAGAGTGACAACTTCCAAGCTCTTTACGTGTTGAAGCTGAAACCAGCAGTCCAACAGTCCACTATCTTCACTTTTTTTTTTTTTTTTTTTTTTTGCCGTACGGGGGCCTCTCACCATTGTGGCCTCTCCCGTTGCGGAGCACAGGCTCCGGATGCGCAGGCTCAGCGGCCATGGCTCACGGGCCCAGCCGCTCCGCGGCATGTGGGATCTTCCCAGACCGGGGCACGAACCCGTATCCCCTGCATCGGCAGGCGGACTCTCAACCACTGCGCCACCAGGGAAGCCCTATCTTCACTTTTAATAGTATGTTTAAGTGTTATATCGAAATTGCAAATTAGTTTTTTTATTTGAAACTTGGATGTGGCCAAAATGATTCTTCACTCCAATAGTAGGAAAAATCTCAGTCCCCAGAGGATCCAAGATGTTCCAGTTTTCTCAGAATAAGCAGCCTGTGTTAATATCTCAGTCCGCTGTTGACTTGTACGGCTTCACTGCCATGGACTCATTCGTTCAATATTCCCATCACAGCCATATGCCGTTAGCACTCTTGGTTTCTCTTTCTGTGTCTAGCAAATGATCGAGCTCTATTTCCACCCACCTGCTCTCCTGTGCTCTGAGAGTGGGGATATTTGCACTAAAGAGAACCTGTCAGTGCTAATTAGGGAGGAAAGCCTATGTGGCAATGTGTAGGTTTAAAAGACAAGAAAAATCCCCCCACGGAGATTCTGAGGAACACTTTGGAGACACTGACAAGTTAATAAAAAGCTTGATTCAGTGATATTTTTAACACACTGGCATGGAAAGTACCATTGGAAATAAAGTGACTTTCAAGGGACAGATTGTTTCATTGAACTGAGGGAAGAGCTATTCTTGCCCTTAAATCTCGTCTGTTTCATGGCTCCTGAAGTGACGCATCAAAGAACAACTGGTGAGGGAGTTGTGGCCTCAGGTCCCACAACCTGACAACAGCTTCTGTGTGGCACTCGGGAGTGTCACTATTAGAGAAACTCACTCATCCAGAGAAAGCAGGCTGAGTGTTCTGCTTTTATTCTTTTCCAAACCTGTATTCACATAGAGCGAACTTGGAGAGGGGGAAAGGGAAGAGAACGAGCCATGCTGACACAGGTAGATCTGTGTGTGATCGGGATGGGGGCAAACAGTCAGGGGAAAATCTGTGGTCACAGCTTTCAGCATACTAGGCTAGCGGTTGTTTGTTTCGGATGTGTGAAGGATCACTGGATTTACGAGAAGTTCTCTTCCTTTTCTCCTATGAAAATAGTAGGAAGTTATTACTGTCTGCCTGAGCTTCACCAGTATAACAAGTTGCTGAATAAATCAGGCACATGATAGCCAAGCAATTCAATGATGAGTCCGTATGTCATTACGTGGCTGGCGAGATGAGGATAAAGTTATTGAAGAAAGGACAAAAGACCTCAAGACGCATAGTAGCTACTAGGGTTAGCAATACAACCTGGAGTAAAAGAACCATTCCAGCTACTAGGTGGCTTATATCCATTCGTATTTATGACTACAACTACTGACATTTCAAATCATCTCATGTAAGTAATCTAAGAGAAACCACTTAGTCAAGCTGTAAGCATTTATGCTTGTTTTCATGAAGTAGATACAATGATTTACCATACCATGGTCTTGAATTTCAGTAAATGACTCAAAAAAAAACCAACAATGTGGTCGATTGATAACAAAAATGGCTCCAATTCTTCCCCTCCCATATCTATACCCTTTGCATTATATTTCAGCTCCTCCCACCAAGAGGTGGAGTCCTTTCCCCCACCTTTTGAATGTGGGCCAAACTGTGCCTTACTTTGGCCAACACAATGCAGAAGAAATAATACGGTTCCAATTCCGAGCCTGGGTGGCAAGAAACCTTGCACACTTCTGCTTTCTCTCTTGGACTCTTTCCTTTGTGTGAGAATAAGTCCAGGCTAGCCTGATGGAAGATGAGAGGCCACGATGAGCAGAGTGTAGTCATCCCAGCTGAGACGATCCTAGACCAGCAAGCCACCAGCTGACTTGCCATCTAAACAGAGATGTACGAATGATCCAGGCTGAAATAAGCTGAGCCCAGCCCAAATCAGCAAAACCCAGATCACCCAATCAGCAGACTTCTGCTTTTCTATGTATGGGAAGATGCAAGAGTGTGGGCTTAATGAAATTATTCCTTTGATATGCACCTTAACTATCCCAGGGCCAGTACCCTGTTTTTCTCCATCCTGAATCCCCTCAGGGTGCACCATTGGGAGTTGATTGCAATGGCTGAAGGCTTGATGGCTTCAACATCCTTTGTTTATTGATATGGAGGCAACATTCTTTGTCCACAGTGCCTCCCCTTGGTCATACATTTGACCAACATTTGAGAGGCATTTCATGACCAATTTTGTCCCATGGCACTAGGAAGGCTCCTTCCTAGATCAGGCAAAGATTCTGCTGATAAGACACACAATGTGCTAATTTTTGGATCAGGCCCTATTGATAATCTAAAATTATCTGGATTTGCCTTTCTTACTGGTCTATTATGATCCAGGAAATGTTTTTTCTTGTTGCTTCTTCCCATACCTAGAGTTGCACTGTTACGATTATTCTATGTGTGTGTGTGCGTGCATGTGTGTCTGTGTGTGTATGTAGATAGATAGATAGATAGATAGATTGCCTCAACATGTTTAACCATCATTAATTTTGTTGGAGGCCCGGTTACACATTTGGTAATGTAAGAGACAACATTCTTATAAAATAGACAGGATATAAGTAATACAGCTAGTAATGTTAATAAAGTCATAGTACAGCAGAGAGAGGCACCAGGCATAAATAATTTGAAAATAAAAAGAGAGAACAAAGTGGAACAATGATTAGTATAAGTAGTTGTTATCTAGTCACAATAAGCTATCAAGACCACAGGGGAGCCAGCTGGAGAAGCCAAATTCTGGAGGGAGCAGGCAGACACAAAAAGATAAATGTTTCACCTTTGTTTACAAAAGCTATGCTTTATCAACTTGTTGTAGGTCATAGTTAGCATAAGAGAAAAGTTTTTCTGGAAAACAAAGATTAACAGCCAGTATTTTTCAGAGAAATAGTCATAAAGTTTTATAAATATTTATCAGAACATTCAGTCCCCTGTAATTAATTTCTGTTGATCTGGATGAAGTCATCAGGTTTTCCATTAGAGTTTTGTTATTTCTTACCCAGTACAGTGGTATGATCTAAAAGTTAACAGAAACTTATATTTGTCAAAAAGTCTCTTTTTTTAATCTTCTTGAAGATTTTCATTTTATAAAAGCATCAGAGTAAAACAATGATTATCTATAAATGGCGAAAGATTTAAAATAGCATGGTCAAAAAATAAATAAATTAATTTAAAAAATAAATAAATAAAATAGCATGGTGAAAGATCTGATTACAATGCCATTGACAAGAAACTTGGATAGTTCTGTGACATACAACACTTTAAGATAATAACTAGAATTATGACTGATAACATTACACCAGGACATATCAGACTTTCAGGAATTCCATATAACTTCAGGAATATCTATATTCATGACATTTCCCCATACAATATAACCTAAGAAGGTTTATCTCCGATTACTTGACAATGCTTCTAAAGTAATTTAACATACCAAATAAGCCTAATTAGTTTAACATTCCTCTCTGAGACGCCTCAGGGTTTCTTCAAGTATGAAAAGAACTTCAGTTAGAATTTGGGAAGTTTGTCAAACATATCAAAAAGGTTTCAAAGCACTCGGTCAAATAGGATCATAGGTCACGGTAAAACAATACTCATTCACTTAACCAAAATGACAAAAGATTTCAAAAGCAAATATAGATCACTTAAAAGCAAAGAAACTCACACAACCTGCTATCAAAAGCAGTATTCCAAGAAAACTTTGCTCTCATACGAGAGAGGAACCAAATCCAGTCCTACACCAGCCTACTTTTAATAACAAAATCCATTTACCTAATTAAATTTAATCTAATCCCAGCTGACCATGCACAAAACTCCTTTTTTTTCAGGACTCCCTTACACAACTTTCTGTATTCATATTAGTTTGCCCTTATTTTTCCATCCAGAAACAACTACTATGTTTAATTAATATTTCCTTAGGGGCAGATTTATATGCCCTGTCTTGTAATATCAAGCACAGGAAGCATTCCCCAGTGAAACATATCTACCCCACAATATAATTAGGCAAAAGAGATGTAACCATCTTATATAAAGCCTATTTAAATATACCAGTTTATATAAGCTTTCATCTCAATTCTATCAACTTACATACGTTTAAGTTTTGTTTCTATTCGGACCCCATCAGGAACCTTTGTTCTTACAAGGAGTCCAGAAACCTTTCTTTTTATCCTGACCATTTAATACTTGGAATCCCCAATGAGGGTTGAGCCACAGGACTCAGGCCTTTTGTTAATTTTTTTAAAACTTGATTAATTGGCCTAACTGTTGCCCCAAGCAATTGCTGGTCAGGTATCTCAGTGTAATTGTCTTGCAGTCTTTTAAATATATATATATATATATATATATATATATATATTTAAACTGAGGTAAATAGAGCAGACTTGTTTGGGGCCCTTTAATGTTGGGAACCAATAAGGGGTCCCTTCGGCCCATCCAACCTTAGGTAATGTTGTATCAAAACCTTTTGTTTTAATCCCATTAATGCCTGTTTTACTTATCCCATTTTTAAATAACCATCTAAAGATTTCTTTATCCTCTTGGGATGAGTCCCTTTAAAATTTCTACCTTGTTGGGAAGAAGTCTCTAGAATTTCCTTCAGTTTTTTCTTATTTCTCTGTTAATCAACCTAATTAACATTAATTATCCTAATGTTTTTATTACTATCTGTAGACTCATTGTGGGAAAGCAGAGACCACAAATAAGCCTTCCCAAACCAGTTTTTTTTAAGTTGTTTTAAATTAAGAGAGTTCTTAGGTTAACCATTACATATATTTTTTCCAACTTCTAATTTGTTTTTTCATTGGCACCAATAAAACAGCTGTTTATAATGAGAGTTTTTAAAAATTTACAATTTAGAAGTTTCTCCAGTTTAAAGGATCCATTGTCTGGCCATTAACGAGATATTTCTTAATAGTGACTCAGGGACTTCCCTGGTGGCTCAAGGCTCTGTGCTCCCAGTGCAGGGGGCCCAGGTTTGATACCTGGTCAGGGAACTAGATCCCACATGCATGCCGCAACAAAGAGTTTGCATGCCACAACTAAGGAGCCCATGTGCTGCAACTAACGAGCCTGCCTGCCACAACTAAGACCCAGCACAACCAAATAAATAAATAAATAAAATAGTGACTCAAACCAATAAGATGTAAGAGGCGGCCCCACAAGAGAGTGTGAGGTTGCCACCTATACAAGATCTAGAAAGTATTCTCCAGAAAATAGTCTAAGTACAGGCTGACACAATGAAGGTTAAGATGGCAAAAGCCCTTGAGAGTTGGCACAATCAGACAAGTGTGCTGAGAATCTCAGTCTATCTGATTGGCTGCCAAATGTACACTATGTATGCACCTTTTGGTTGGCAGAGACCAAGCTCTCAGACCACACACACACACACACACACACACACACACACACACACACACACAAGAAAACCACCTAAGAAGATCAAGTAGAACATTTACATCTCAAAGACACAGGGAGAGAAATGCAAGTTCCCCCTAGAAGGGCTTTTGTTTCTTTAAGGTCAGAATTCTGAAAAGATGTTTAATCAAGCTGGCTTTCTCTAACTTAACTGCATATGCAATAGAAGAGCCCCATACTGGCCATTTTCAAGGCGAGATTTCCTTTAATTCCCATTTAAGAACTTTTTTTTTTTTTTTTTTTTTTGCGGTACGCGGGCCTCTCACTGTTGTGGCCTCTCCCGCTGTGGAGCACAGGCTCCGGACGCGCAGGCTCAGCGGCCATGGCTCACGGGCCCAGCCGCTCCGAGGCATGTGGGATCTTCCCGGACCGGGGCACGAACCCGTGTCCCCTGCATCAGCAGGCGGACTCTCAACCACTGCGCCACCAGGGAAGCCCCCAATTAAGAACTTTTAAGTGTACGTTATGTAAGTACATAAACCTGGCTGGGGTGTTAGTTGGAGGCTGGCCTTCTGACGCCCCTCATTTAGGAAAGATGTTAGACCAGCCTCTTACCCAATCAGCCAGTCCAGAGGGCTCAGTGTTTCTCAACTAAGCAACTCCCAGGGTCTTTCAACTGCGCTCTTCCAGTATCTTTCAACTGTGGGGCGCTCCTTAGTATCTTTCACCTGGGGAGCCAGGCACCTGTTAGACACTGCCAAATAAAACTCAGGATCATCAACCAATAATCAGGAGATTTGAAAGCCAGGAAAGACTCACCCAAATTCGTCTGGACTCTCCAAGGAGGAGGACATGCACAAAAGGCCTCTCCTTGTACCAAGGCTCAGGTGCCACGTAGTGTTCAGGTGAAGGAGAGAAGCCTGCCCTGGGTCCCTTCATTGTCCGTCAAAACTGTCAATTGAAAAAAAAATGCACAACCTAAAAGTTATTAAATTACTTTTTTTTTTTTTTTTTTTTTTTGAATTACATTTTATTGGGGGCATTTCTGAGGACTTAAGCCTGGGATACAGCCTCTCAGATAACTGAGGGACTATTCCAAAGAGGTAAGGGAGGAGCCAGGATGTATAGAAGTTTTTGCAAAACAAAAACAAAAACAAACCAGGTAGTTGAACATCAAAAGATGACTGCTAATTAAAGAAAAATCATACTTCTCAAGTTAATGAATTTACTGCTTTTCTGTGTATGGGAAGATGCAAGAGCTGAGGCTTAATGAAATTACTCCTTTGATATGCACCTTAAATATCTAGGGCCAGTATCCTGTTTTTCTCCATCCTGAATCCCCTCAGGGTGCACAGTCAGGTGTGGGAGCAGCAGCTGATGGCGTGGTGGCCACAACACCCCTTATTTACTGATATGGCAGGCGACTTTCTTTGTCCACACCCTCACAGGGTTTATACTTGCATGAAAGTTGCACGCAGTTTTGCAGTTACAATAAACCCTAGAAGGAGGGGGATTATAAACAAAGGGGGAATTTTAAAAAGTGTCTTACCATAGTCTGTAAGACAGAAAGAATAAACGTCAAAGAACTGGTAGAGAGATAACCACTTCTCTTATAAGAGAAGCAAGGAATAGCTTGGCTTGCAAGTGTGTTCTTATGTTAGGTGGCAAGTTAAAGGAGGTCTCATGTGATGGATTCAGTTTCTTGGTGAAGTGGGAAGCAATCTTCTGATAATTCTGACAGGAATGTTCTGGAGTCAGAGGGTCGGAGAGTGGGGAGAATGTTTGTAATGGCCATGATGGAGAGCCAGAGCTGAGCCAATCAGAGAATAATACAGAGGATTCCCCTGCTTTTCCAAAAACCCCACTGTGGATGGAAACCACAGAGTTATAGAGGCCCCACTCTGTTCACTGAAGGGCTTTCCCACCAGCCTGGATTTAGGTAGAGAAAAGGCAGATGAGTTGGATCATTTGAAGCATTCAACTGTGTTAAACGGTTGGTCAACAAGGAATCGAAACCATAGCTTTCTTTACTTTGTGATAACTTCTAAAAGAAACAGCCAAAGCCAAATTCCAAAGTGACTCCAAGAGAGACACCTCTAGTAAAAATCCCCCAGTGAGGGCCTCCTTCACATCTGAACGAATTCCTGCCACGCTGGCCTGATGTCCTCGCCATAAAGGCCGGCATTCTCCAGGCTCTGAATCCTACATTCTATCAAACGTTAACTAGGGGCGAAACAGAGTTAAGACTACGTGGGCAGAAAACCCTTTATAAACAGCTTTTATTGTACTCTATGCACTTGTCTTTGTCTGGAAGGAGACAGCTGAACCCTGAACATTTTAATTGGTGCTGATTCCTAATTTTTATATCTTGGAATAAAGGAATGAGAAATGTGTTAAATCATGCTGCTGCAGTGCATTGTTCAACATCTGTGTCATCCATGTCTTTACCTAACGAGAATGGAATATAATGATGATCGTTATCATGAGAAATCTACCCACAGCAACATGAGTGGACCTAGACATTATCATACATTATCATGAGTGGACCTAGACATTATCATACTAAGCAAAGTCAGAAAAAGACAAATACCATATGATATCACTTATATGTGGAATCTAAAATATGACAGAAATGAACATATCTACAAAACAGAAACAGACTCACAGACAGAGAACAGACTTGTGGTTGCCAAAGGGGAGAGGGGGTGGGGGAGGGATGGATTGGGAGGTTGGGATTAGCACATGCAAACTATTATATATAGAATGGATAAACAACAAGGTCCTACTGTATAGCACAGGGAACTGTATTCAATATCCTGTAATAAACCATAATGGAAAAGAATATGAAAAAGAATATATATATGTATAACTGTACTTTGTACAGCAGAAATTAACACAACACTGTAAGTCAACTATATTTCAATAAAATTTTTTTAAAAATCTAGCTGATCTCCCTGTGCTATGCAGCTGCTTCCCACTAGCTATTTTACATTTGGTAGTGTATATATGTCCATGCCACTCTCTCACTTCGTCCCAGCTTACCCTTCCCCCTCCCCGTGTCCTGTGGGATAGGGAGGATGGGAAGGAGATGCAACAGGGAGGAGATATGGGGATATATGTATAGCTGATTCATTTTGTTATACAACAGAAACACACCATTGTAAACAATTTTACCCCAATAAAGATGTTAAGAAAATAAAAAATGAAACAAAAATCTATCCACAATCCCTTAAGGTCGACTGAGGTCAAACTATATATGTTTATATTTGATTATGCATTTGAAAACCGGGCTGTATGATGTGTTGAATATATATGTGTGATTAGTACTCGTGCTTAGCGAATGCTTTATTATGTGGAAACCGTGACACAAATGCTCATTTTGTTCATATTCAGTGTTATTTTCTCCCTGTACAAAACTTGTTTTAAAATTAACCACTTTAAAAGTTCTCATCTGGCCTGCGAATAAATATTTATAATGCGCTTTGCCTATGAAGAGGGTCATTAGCATGTAAGCTTGGACAAGGAATGATTTCCTGCAGAATTTTGATGAGCAAAATGACTAAACTTAATGGAGGCATTTTATCCTTGCAAATACTTTACTCCAAGCCTTCAAAATCATCAAGAAATGTACTTCATGAGACATGGTTCAGAAGAATCACAGAAATGAAGGGCTGGGTGAGACTTAGTTGGTCTCTTTGCACCTGTACTTTCCCTAAATCAGTGCAGAGCAGATTCATGAAGCACATTTATTTTTTAACCCATTTATAGTTCCCATCAGTGCAATAAAGCGCTGTAATAGACAGCAGGGTCAGATTATAGACCCTGAATGAAAAGGTCAGCCTTTCTTCTCACTAAAAGACAATAAGAAACAGATTATTTTTCTCTGTAATGGAAGGAAATATTCTGAGTCTTTAGATTTGTTTCAACTTTGCACTTTGTGGATGAGATGGGGCATGGATTGCCCATGACATACACAAAATTTTTAGTTAAGAAAATGTTCAAAAGTTACTACCTTCGCTAGAAATGGCAGGAGCAGGAGGGAGCAAAACATACAAATAAATGAATCCTCCAAACCTTAGCCCCCAACATTCTCACTGTTGTCATGAAATTGTGAGGACAAGCAGAGCATACCAGAGACATAAATGTCATTTCACCTTTAGCTACATGAACAAGTACTAAATCATAATAAAAATTCACACAGTGGGCTTCCCTGGTGGCGCAGTGGTTGGGAGTCCGCCTGCCGATACAGGGAACACGGGTTTGTGCCCCGGCCCGGGAGGATCCCACATGCCGCGGAGCGGCTGGGCCCGTGAGCCGTGGCCGCTGAGCCTGCGCGTCCGGAGCCTGTGCTCCGCAATGGGAGAGGCCACAGCAGTGAGAGGCCCGCGTACCGCACAGAGACAAGGACAAGAAAAAGAGATCGACATCTCATATGGAATTTATGAGTTTGGAGGAGAGGATCAACCTGTATGGAAAAGTCCTTCTTTTTCTTCCCTGGTGCCTGCTTACTCGCCCCGCCCGGCTCGCGCCACTCCTCACAGCCAATGCGCTCAGAACACCCCATACATACAAAGTTTCTGTACTCCTAGGAATCCCCCTGTCCCCTAGCTTCGCTGCCCACAGTGGGCTATAAAGGAGGCACCAAGTAAGAGAGGCTCCTCCTTGCTCTTTAGATCTTGGCCTCAAAAGGTTTTATTTTCAATCATCTGAATTTCTGACCCTTACTCTCTTTCTTCCCATCTCACTTCTTCTAGAACCCTCACCACAGTAATTCTCTGACCCCATTTGGACCTTGAAAGCAAAGACCCTATCACTTTTCCTCTGTCCATCATTACTCACCCAGCCTAGAATCCATGAGCTATCTGCACAGTCTCTTCACTGAAAATGCCTTCGGATCCCATGTGCCACTCCTTCTCAATTAGAATGACCTGGAAAAATCCACCCCCTCCTTAACGCTACTCTTCTGCACCTGCTTCCAAGAGCTGACTGTGGCTAGAGCCCCGTAACTTCAATAATTGTTTTCACTTGGAAATAACGACCACAAAGCCCAATGGAGCGGCCTTAAGTCTTATCATATTTTCCTAATTAATTATTTCTCACTCTCTGAGAAAACACTAACTTCCAGTTTCTAATCTAATTTCGAGCCTAATTCCCAAGTTCTCATCTAACTTCTTGACATGCAAATGATTGCTTAAACATCATTTTCTCAGAGGAGCCTTCCCTCATCACCTCATGTAAAAGAGACTCTCCCCAATCACACTTTATTCCCTTACTTTGCTTAAATCATTTTTGTAACAGTTATAACAAACTACGTGACGTCATACACACACACACATATATATGCACAAAATATATAGTATTTGCATATTGGCCTGCTACTTCCACTAGATCATAAACTCCAGAGAGACAGGGACTTTCTCCCATTCACCCACATCTAACATAGGATTTCTCAACTTGAGCACTATTGATATTTTGTGCAAAATAATTTTTGTCGTGGGGGTGGGTTGTCCTGTGCATCGTAGAACGTTGAGCAGCAACCCTGACCTCTACTCATTATATGCAGTACCATCCACCCTAGTTATAACAATCAAAACTGTCTCCAGGGCTTCCCTGGTGGCGCAGTGGTTGAGAGTCCGCCTGCCGATGCAGGGGACGCGGGTTCGTGCCCCGGTCCGGGAAGATCCCACATGCCGCGGAGCGGCTGGGCCCGTGAGCCATGGCCGCTGAGCCTGCGCGTCCGGAGCCTGTGCTCCGCAAGGGGAGAGGCCACAACAGTGAGAGGCCTGCGTACCGCAAAAAAAAAAAAAAAAAAAAAAAACTGTCTCCAGATGCTTCCAAATATCCCTGGGGTCCAAGAGGGGGCAAAAATCACCCCTGATTGAGAACCGCTGCTCTAACACAATGCCTAGCACACAGTGGGTGCTAAGCAAACGTTTGATGAATGAAGGAATCACCAAACCATAGGTCACCAAAAAATCCCAAGAATTAATGTTATTGTCCGAACTTCCAGCAAAACTGTATTTAAGCCTTATCGGCAAAAGTGAACTTACCTTGTTTTAATGACATGGCGGTGGGGTTAAAATTGATTTTGTACCAAGGGTTCTCAGCCGTGACTGCATGTTATAATCATCTGGATGAAGGTTTTGAAAAACTACTGATGCCAGGCCTTTCTTCAGAACAATTAAATGAGAATCTCGGGGGGTGGTGTCCAGCATAGAGACTTTTAAAAACCTCGTCCTGTGATCCTGATTTGCAGCCTGGGTTCAAATCCTGTTCTTTTCAATCCTCCGAAGACCAATTTCATAGCATAGCAATCCTCATAGATAGGGCATTTCTCCTCATACATCTGCATTATTGATCAGCGTTTTTGGAATGGAAGAAAGTGTATGTCAGCATAGTAACTTCCTGGGCCATTTGTATCTTCTATTCCCTGCCCCATTGTTGATCCATGTTCATCCTAAGTAAGCCAATTTAAAAATTAATGTTCTCCAAGGCTTCCCTGGTGGCGCAGTGGTTGGGAGTCCGCCTGCCGATACAGGGGACACGGGTTTGTGCCCCGGTCCGGGAAGATCCCACATGCCGCGGAGCGGCTGGGCCCATGAGCCATGGCCGCTGAGCCTGTGCGTCCGGAACCTGTGCTCCGCAACGGGAGAGGCCACAACAGTGAAAGGCCCACGTACCGCAAAATAATAATAATAATAATGTTCTCCAGATGTAGAAAACAAACTTATGGTTACCAGGGGGTAAGGGGGGGAGGGATAAATTGGAAGACCGGGACTGACATATACACACTACTATATATAAAATAGATACCTAATAAGGACCTACCGTATAGCACAGGGAACTCTACTCAGTACTCTGTAATGACCTATATGGGAAAAGAATCTAAAAAAGAGTAGATATATGTATATGTATAGCTGATTCACTTTGCTGTTCACCTGAAACTAACACAGCGTTGTAAATCAACTATACTCCAATAAAAATTTTAAAAAATTAGTGTTCTACTCTTGATAATTAGTTCTGGTAATGAGAAAAATTGTATTACCTTGCAATTTTCTTTTATGATAATGGCTTATGCTATGGAAGAAAACTTATTCTGTCATATTGGGACCAGATATCACAAAGGCTTTAAAATACTATGATGTGAAAGTGTTCACTTATAGTGGCTTACATACTGGAAACAAAAGGATTATAGAAGCAGATATCCAAAACAGAACCTATAGGGAAGCAGGGTTAGTATTGCAAATTGGAGAGTTCCATCTATTTACATAACATATGATGCTCTACTAGTGAGAACATTAATAACTATGATTTTAAGTGTCTTATCCAGTATACAGAGTTTTTCATTCCCAAAGTGGTAACTAGTGGCTTGAAAAATGAACTCTGGTTCTCAAAGATGAATAGCTCTGAAGTAAAATTAATATTTTCTAATCCTAGAAAAGGTTTCTTACGGGAGTATGTGTTTCTCCGATTTGAAATCGAAGGACCAAAAGCTACAAAACGGCATAATATCTATCACCATATTGCAATCATTGTTCATAAAAATAATGTTGATTAAATTCCCCAGGCAAGATAATCTAGTTCTTATAAAGTTCTGTTTGTGTTTCAAAAGAATAAATATTCTGTGGTTGTTGCATTGCGTTCTACATGTCAATTAGATAAAATGTATTCATCATGTTGTTTAAATCTCCTATATTCTTTCTGATGTATATTTTTGGCAACTTGTTGTGTCACCTATTGAGGGAGCGGTATTAAAATCTCCCATACGATTATGAATTTATCTATTTCATCTTTTAATTCTATTAATTTTTACTTGTGTTTTAAGGCAATTTGTTAAGTGCATACAAATGTAGGACGGTTATGTCTACCTAGTGAATTGACTCTTTTATCATTGTGAAATGTGTCTTTTCCTCAAGAAATGCTTTTTGCCTTAGAGCCTCCTTTATTGGATATTAATTTATATATGCCGCAAATATATTATTAATATATAGTATACGTGTATATATAAATATATATGAGATAATGTTTCATGGTATATCTTTTCCATCATTTTACTTTCAACTTTTATGCATCCCTGATATTTTTTTATGTGTCACTTTTAAACAGCATATAGATGGGTTATATTTTGTTTTGCCTCTGGTCTTTTAGATGAAACATATGATCTAGTTATATTTATCATAATTATGATATATTGAGGTTAAAATATATTATCTTATTTTTTTTTTATTTTTTATTTTTTGCAGTACGCGGGCCTCTCACTGTTGTGGCCTCTCCCATTGCAGAGCACAGGCTCCGGACGCGCAGGCTCAGCGGCCACGGCTCACGGGCCCAGTTGCTCCGCGGCATGTGGGATCTTCCTGGACCGGGGCACGAACCCGTGTCCCCTGCATTGGCAGGCGGACTCTCAACCACTGCGCCACTAGGGAAGCCCTCTTGCCTGTTTTGAGGTGAGTATTTTTATTATTCCATTTCCCCACTCTATTAGCTTAGTAGCTATACATTTCTTTTTAACTTTTCCTTTATTGCTTATCATATACAAAATGCATCCTTGACTTGTCAAAATACAACTTGATACTTTTACCCACTTCCCTGACAATGAAGGGGTCTTTGAACACTTTAACTCAATTTTGTTTTTCCTCTCAACTGATATTGTTATCCTGTATTTTAATTTGACCTATCTGCTAAACTTCATAAGACATTATCATTATTGTTTTATAGAGTTGATAATCATTAAATTATCCCCAAATTTACTCCTTTACTCTTCATTTCTTTCTATTTTGCCCAGATTTCTATCCAGGATTATTTGTCTTTTGCCAAAATAATAGATTTTTTTTTAAGAAGCATCACGTTTTATTTATTATTTTAAAATTTTTTTAAAGGGAACTTTATTTAGTTATTTATTTTGGGCTGCATTGCGTCTTTGTTGCTGCGCACGGGCTTTCTCTAGTTGCAGCGAGCAGGGGCTACTCTTTGTTGTGGTGCGTGGGGCTTCTCATTGCTGTGGCTTCTCTTGTTGTGGAGCATGGGCTCTAGGCACGTGGACTTCAGTAGTTGTGGCACGCAGGCTCAGTAGTTGTGGCTCGCAGGCTCTAGAGTGCAGGCTCAGTAGTTGTGGTGCATGGGCTTAGTTGCTCCTTGGCTTGTGGGATCTTCCCGGACCAGGGCTCGATCCCATGTCCCCTGCATTGGCAGGCGGATTCTTAACCACTGTGCCACCAGGGAAGCCTCCAAATAATAGATTTTTGTATTTCTGTAAGTGTACTTCTGCTGGTGACTAATTTTCTCAGTTATTTGCCTAATTTTTTATCACTTCATCTTCGTTTTTGAAGGTTATTTGTGCTGGGTACACATTCTAAGTTCACGGAATTTTCTTCAGTATTTTGAAGGTGTCAAAATGCATTATCATTGAAGGCAAATGCATTGCCTTTGGTTTTCTATTGTTTCTGTGAGCAGTTAGATGTCAGTCTTCTTGTTTGACTTTTGTAGGTAATTTGTCTTCTTTGTTGGGAGGGGATGCTACTTCATAATTTTTCAGCTTCCTTTGGTTTTCAGTCATTATACCGTGATGTGCCAAGATACAGGTTTTATTTTATTCATTCTGCTTGGGGAATCTTAGGGATTCTTAGACCTGTGGCTTGAGGTCTGTGCTAGATATTCTCTGCGTCTCTACGTCCGTGCTTTGACCCCTCTGCCTTGAGAACCTGACCTATATGGATTACAATAGCTCCCATGCCCTTTGGTTTCAAGTTGAGTGCAGCCAATGAGGAGCATTAGTAGGAGATCAGCGGGAGGGTGAAGGGATCAGGGTAATTATTCCTCTGGCTCCTTTTTCGGGAGGCACCCTGGGTTTGCTGTATCCCTTGACAAAAGATTACTGCTCCTCTCAAAGTGGCCTTCTCTACATGATTGTTTAAGCCTCTCTTTCCCCTTAAACTTTTGGGCCTGGAAGTGGTGACAGCTCCAGCATTGCTAGCCCCAGGTTCTTGTAATATCAATAGTCATTCACCTGCCCACACCTTTGTAATTTGTCCCTTTGTAAATGAGCCCACCTCAATTTATGCCATTTGGAGTGTGCCATCTTCTTCATCTTGGCAACCTGACTGATACAGTAACTAGTACCAAAAGTAGCCTATGATGGTTAATCTTAGGTGTCAAGTTTTCTGAGCCATGGTGCCCAGATATTTAGTCAAACATTATTTTGAATGTTTCTGTGAGGGTATTTTTGAATGAGATGTACATTTAACTCAGTGGACTTTGAGTAAAGCAGATTGCCCTCCATAATGTGGGTGGGCCTCATATAATCAGTTGAAGGACTGACTAAAACAAAAGGCTGACCTCCCCCAAGTAAAAGAGAATTCTCTAGCAGACTGCATTCTGATTTCATCTGCAACATAGGCTCTCCTGGTTCTACAGAAGGCTGCCTTTGGACTTGAAATGCATCTCTTTCCTGAATGTTCAGGTTGCTGGCATTCCCCACCAGATTCTGGGCTTACCAAGCCTCCACAATCGTGTAAGCCAATTTCTTAAGATAAATTCCTTTCTCTATATACACACATCCTATTGGTTCTGTTTCTCTGGAGAACCCTGACTAATACAGGGTATCAGGAATTAGATCCTCATGAAATAAATCCTTCAATGTTCATATTCTGAGGAAGTTCATGGATCATCTTCCTGCTGAGAATCATGAGGCATGAGTAGTTCATGGCATGAGGTGACATCATGATTACTCACATTATCACCAGAGGGTGAAATGTATGTGGAGGGCAAGGCATTGGGGGTCAAGTTGTTGTAGCATAGTACAAAAGTACTAATAAAGATTGGAGAGTCACCTGGAATCTTATTGTAACTTTGGAAAGCACATATAGGGAAAACAGAAATTAAGAGTTATGAATATAAAATTTAAAACATGCACTAAAAAATTAGAAGGCCTCCAGGGCAGGTTTGCCGGAGTCCCTCATTTTCCATAATTGTACAACATCACATTGATCCATGACATTGGTGACATTACAGTGGTAATCACTAGGTCTATATAAATGCAATAGATGTGCAGTTTAAAATGTGCTGCTTGGGCTTCCCTGGTGGCACAGTGGTTAAGAATCAGCCTGCTAATGCGGGAGACACGGGTTCGAGCCCTGGTCTGGGAAGATCCCACATGCCACGGAGGAACTAAGCCCGTGCACCACAACTACTGAGCCTGCGCTCTAGAGCCCGTGCTCCGCAACAAGAGAAGCCACCGCAATGAGAAGCCTGCGCACCTCAGCAAAGAGTAGCCCCTGCTACTAGAGAAATCCTGTGTGCAGCAATGAAGACCCAACGCAGCCAAAAATAAATAAATAATTTTAAAAATGTGCTGCTTAACACATAGAGATGACCCATCAACTACGGTATCATTCTAATGTGAGAACAAGTTGGTCATGCAACCACCTGAAACCAAAAACATTAGCCATAATTTGTGTCCTATATATAAGATGG